AGTAACTCTTTCCCCAAGGGTTGGGAGCTGGATGTAGCTGTAGCTGTTTTATCCCTGGTGGGCTGAGGGTGGCTTCTTACATTTTAGACTCAGCTACAGCCTTATGTTTGCTAACATTACTGGGAGGCCGGGATGTTAAACGTTGGATTTTATTCATTTTGTTTCCAACTCAGCCTGAAACTCCTAAGCATCATGTCTGCAATGGCAACAATGATAAACATTTGTGAAACTGGACATTTTTCTCCATTAACAGCCATCTAGCTTCATGTATACAGGTGTCTGATGAAGTAGCAAGTCTGTGTGAACTTTGTTCATCTGACCGTTTTCTCTTCCATCTGAGATGGAAGAGAAGGTATGGGTAGATCCTGCTCAGAAAGCTTAATGCTTCAGCAGTGCAAGGATGCTTTATTTCCCATGAAAAGCACCCACTTGAGTTTTAACATATGCACACTGACTTCACAGCATTTAATTGCTTATCTAGATTTTCCTTAAGTTTCCTGAGCCATGGCAAGCTGGCTGTCTGCTCAACAGTTAATGACTTCTGCAGGTGCTTGTAAGCTGACGCTGGACACTGCTGGGTTTGGACAAATGCTGCTGTCACAGTAACAAGCTGATATGAGGTGAAGGGAAGAACACTCTTCTGTTCTAGGGGAAGAGATATCTGGTTCTGAGACCAGTGATTCTGAAGAGGAGGATGAAGATGATGATGGGGAGATTGGAGAAGATGGGGAGAAGCGGAAGAAACGGCGGGGTAAGGCTGTCGAGACTCCTGTCGGTGCCACCAATCTTCTCTTATCCAGCAGCTGGTGTCAGAAACTGTAGCCAGAGCCAGGCGGGGAAAAGTGGATTTGTAGAGCTGCCCTACTGCCGCTGCAATTATCATGCCTGTCCTAGAAACGAAGCTATTTGGTGCCGTTTCTGTAGATGGACAGCTCTGAACCTGTGTAGTATCTGCTTCCACTTGGGTAGTTGCGCTTGTGGTAACATCCTCTTTTGTGGTGGCTCCCTGGTTGCCGCAAGGTGGCTGTGTATGGCTTGTGACTGGTGTTGTGGAACTTCCCCTGCTCAGAGGTAGGAGGAAGAAGACACCAAAGATAATGGTAGGCTGTTGTGGGTTGTTATAACCATGAGAATGGTTGGAGGGGAATTTTGGCTGTGGTTTAGGCAAAGGATTAATTTGTCTTATGGATGTTCAGTAACTGACTCCTCTGATGTCTATTGTTGATAGAGGAAGAACTTGACATTTGGGGTCTTTGTGCTAGCTGAAAAAGCATCCCTTGTTTGGGAGCACTCTGGAAAGCCCATGGGTGAAGGCTGCTGTCCTACACCAGTGTTAAACTACTGTGTAACATCTAAACTCCAGGGGTTGTTGCGGAACCTAGAACTGTGGGATGCTGTGGCTTCCAGGGGGCACCAGTACTGTGCCTCTAGAACCTCTCTGATGTTTTTTCATGGGGAGTAGAGAAGTCAAGCCCAGTGCTACACCTCAACTTCCAGCCTCTCTAGTAAACTAATTTTGACATGCAAACTGCCTTCCTGTCCTGAAGCACACACATCTGTTTAAAAATTCCTACTAAAGCATTCCTGCTTTAGACAACCTCTCTTAATTTTGGTATCTGTCCAAGCAGATACCATAAATGACCTTTGTCATGCCTTTGGTGATAGTTACAATAACTTGTACTTAATTTCTCACCTTTTGGTAATTTCTAGAAGCAAAAAGATTGACCACTGTCTCCATCGAGAACCAAGCTCTGCCTAAATCTCCTCCGAAGAGGAGATCACCTTCAAAATGCTGCTTGAAAGGAGTAGAGGGCAAATAACTATGACTTACTCAACTTCCAGACAAGCTACTTTAAGCTTCCTAAGAAAGGGTGCTGCTCAGCAGGAGTACACACAGTAACTGTCCCTGTGTAAGCTTATTCTGCCTTCTAGAGGCAAAAGTGCACGTGGCCATGTACGTAAGACAGGAAAGGACTCCTGGTCACTGAATCCTCTGTTCCTGCAGATATCCGCAGCCTTCTCCACTATGATCTGGTTTTCTGTGCTGTTGTTGCTTGAAACGGAAGCTGCCTTGGCATGTTGTTTTAAGCCGTAGGCTGGTTAAGATGGGTTTTAACTGAAATGTCTTTCTGAGCATGCTATTTTGTGCTGGGAAATGGTGGCTTTGCAAGCTGAGTTTGGGAGGGATCCTACCAAATGCTTCCTAATGGAAACTTGTGCCTTTTTGAATTAGGTTGCTGGCCCTTCTGGGTTTCTTTCCTTTAGAACTAACTTCCCATCTGCATGTTTCTTCCTCTCTGGGTTTTTCTGTGGGATGCATTTCTGTTTTCCAGGCAGTAGCAGCAGCAGTAGTTCAGACTCCACATGCTCTGTCATAGAGAAACCTCTGGATAAGTCCTTCACTAGTGAGTGGGAGCTCTTAAGTCCTTTAAGCTTTGGCCTTTCCATAATCTGCACACTCCATTTTGCAATGCCGCACTCTTCCCTGCTATGTCTGTTGGAAAGATAACCTGAACTTTTAGCTCTGCTAAAGCATGCCTTTCCTTTGCTGCTTCCATGCTTGAAACAGTTGTTCAGTGTGCACATTGTCAGCCAGATATGTGAGAGAATAGGAAGCAATTTAGTATGCTGCTTGAACAAGATTTAAAGACAACTGAGAAATAATAGGTTAAAAAACAGTTTGCAACTTCTGTGTTAAACACTCCCTCTAAAATATTGGGAAAAAGTCTGAGCCAACTTTTTAATGGCAGTTGCTACAGTGTGAGTTTATAAATAAGACATCCAGACAGGTGAAATGGGTTGTGCTGTGTTATATTGGACTCTGCCTTCTCAAAATTAGTTTTGGAGAAAATAAATGGAGTGGTCAACAAGCAACACAAGGCTTATACTTCCAAGGAAAATGTGGTAATGCTTGGTTGATCTGCTTTATTTTGGCAGATACTTTAAAAAAATCCTCAGTGGTTTGTTTTGGTTTTTTTTAACTGCCCCATGACATTAAGTTCTTAGTCACTGTGGGACTTAGTTCAGAGGAACAAGGGATCTAGATTTTGGTCTAGCAGTGAGGAAAGTCTGGTCTGCTCCTGGTCAGAGGGCTCTGTCCCTTTTAAAAACCCTACAGTCAGTGATGACTGAAGAAAGAAATCGCATCTCAGGACTTGGCTTGTAGGGACTTCACCCACTGTTGTGGTTATCCTGTGTAGATGCAGTCTACTTTCCTCCTTATGTGGTGAGAATCTGGAAAGTATTGTGTTATAGTAGCACTTCAGTCAAATTTATACTAGTTATGTTAGTGGAAAGCATCAGCTCAGAGAAAGTGTGGTAGCAGGTTAAGAAGGTTCACAACCTAAGGGAGACCTTTGGTAGGTCATACGATGGTAGGCTTGGAACTCTGCTTGCTTCAAACTTGCTCTTCCAAAGCTTGCTTGAAACCTGAATATCTTATTTGGATGAGGACAGTTAATAGCAAACTGCTGATCTGCCAGTGGATGGATGAGTCCATCTCCTGCAAGTTTGGAGACAGTTCTGGTGTGGAAGTTGCACTGGGCTTTAGGTGACTAGGGTAAGTGTAGCTCTGTGTGGTTTGGGATATTAACTGTCCTCAAGCGTGGTCCTTTTGCATGTGGTGTCTTTCATTACCCCTTTCCTGTCCTGCCTTTTTTGCTGCACTTGCTTGAATAATCAAAACTGGCTATATACCTCTATGGAAGCATCAGTTACTGCAAATTAACCTACTAATACCCTGTGTAATTAAATGGAGAAATCTTGTGCTGAGACTCCCGATGTGCAACTGTCATGTATCTTGCAAAGAATTGGCTTGGAAACCTGGTTAAAACTTAGAACAAGTCTTATGTATGCTAATATTTTACGGGTAATATAACAGAATTGGATATCTTGGGGCAGGGGGGAAGCATTAAGTCTCTTATTCAAGAAGAAATCTACCCTCTTTCTTAGGGCATGATCTTTGCGGCAGGCTCATAATGTTACATTTGGATTCTGCATTGCATTGGATGGGCAGAAGAATGGAAGAGTGAGCTGAAGATTATCCTGGATAGGCAAAGCACACTGGAGTGTAGAAGCTTTCTGTGCTTTAGCATAAAATCATGATGCATTAATGTTTGCTCTAATGGAGTGGGTTTTTAGTGATGACTATCCTGTGTTTTCTACTCTAGAAACATGCATATAAAATTAATGCTTGTTCTGATGCTCATGATCTTTGTCCAAAATGATCAAAGCAGTAATATATTTTCTTTCCTCCTCTTTTCATGCATATGCTGCCTCTCTGCGATTTGCTTTCTACTTCCTCTTAATGCAAGATCAAGCAGGTTGGTGTAATTGACTTCCACCTCCTTGTAATACAATTGCAGAGCTTGTGCAAGGGTCTTACAACTCTGTTTAATTCACCTTTTTCTCCTAAACTGAGAATATGTAGGGCTGTGTACTAGCAATAAGAAGCCTTTATCTGGCTTATCTCTTTTTATATGATGATCTCTGTATAGGACTTTCATAAAGCTTCTTATTCAAAGACTAATTAGTGAGAGATTTTTTTTCACCACAGATCCACAAAGAAGTGCTTGTTGTCTGATTCCTAAGTTTAGCAGATGGAAACTAAGACAGTTTGCTGTAGTGCCGAAGTCCTTACCTTACCACAAAGCTAATTATATTCCCTTGTGTGCATGAACAAACATGCATACAGATATGTACAAATATGTTCACAAATACAGTGCATTTTGTCTGAGTGCTAGATGTCATATATCTTTACAAATAAAGCAGAATGCCATGAAGACCAAAGGGGAGCCTGTTATTGAGCAACAGCTTTCTTGAGCATGTTGTGACCATATGCATTATGTCACTGTGAAAAACAGTCCCTTGGCAGTCGACGCCTTCTGTTAGTTTTAGGCATCTGGATTCTGGGGGTGGGGGGGAGAGGTTCATGTCTGGAGAACTGGAGAAGAGCAAAACAAGAAAATGAAAGGCTCACCTTTCATCGAATAAAGTAGTGGATAAAGGGAGATTTAGGACTCATGGATTTGAAGAAATACATACAGTCTGGGCTCTCTCTGGAGTGCCAGATAACCCACAAGGATCGCTGTGTTCACCTGCCTTAGGCACTCTTGGGATTACAATGAAAGTTGACTCAAGACTTGTGGAGTGACTTCCAAGAGCAGTAGCTTCACACTTTGTTTCAAAATCACGGGTATTTGGGACCAACCCTTCAGGCCAATAAGTTCAATGAGCTGCTCTGGCCACTTCCTTTGTAACTCTCTAAGAAACGCACCTGGTTTGCTGTAATAGTAGTTACACTGTAAAGACAGAATTGGTAAGTTGCAGCAAACCTCAGTACTTTCAGATCTGTGGGCAGTCACTCTTACGTAGCTCAAATACAATCAAAAGGTTTATTTAATTGCCTGTTGTGGTGTTGTTTGTTTGTTTGTTTTTATAGGGCTGTTCTGAATTTCCTTAGTCTCTATTTTTATGGTAGTGCATTCTTAAAATATCTATGTGCTGACTTTGCAATAGGTAAGTGCATAAGGAGGGCAGTGAACAAGGGGTGTGATGGGGATGCTAATCTGAAATTTGAGTATGTAACTCTTGGTAGCTTAGCTGCAGGTCAAGGCAGTCTCCTATTTTCTTTCCTCTGGCCTAATCTACAGAGTTAGAATGCCTGAGCTTCCAGGTCAGACTTCTCTTCAGGCAGTGTTCCTTCTCCAGGTGTTCTTTGTGTGTTTTCTATTTTGGGGGCATTACGTTATAGTGTTCCTTCGCTGTAGGAACTGGTGGCAACTGGTCAATGTTAAAATGGGATTTGAAAGACTTGAGTTGTACCCAACTTGGAGCTGACATCTAATTAAATTAATTTTTCTTAAATGCAATTATTGAATCTGAACTTGGAGAAATGCTGTGATACAGAGGCTGTCTTGCTTTTCTGTGAGCTAATTTGTTTTCCCTATCTCTTCCAAAGGCAAAAAGAAAGTTTCCCCTGATAAGATGGTAGAGATGCAAGCAAAGATTGAAGAGGAGAGAAAAGCTCTTGAAACTAAGCTTGATATGGAAGAAGAAGAAAGAAACAAAGCCAGAGCTGAACTGGAGAAGAGAGAAAAAGACTTGCTTAAAGCTCAGTGAGTACACTGCTCTGCACAGTTTGTGTGGCAATGTGGGTTTTTCCTTCCTTAATCTACAACTCAGTTGTGGATATCTGGAGACGCATGGTGAGGTGCCTGTCAAACTTCTTCTGTATAAGTGGAACGTGAGCTCTTGCTATTATCAAAGTGAAAGAAGAGCTTACTCTGCCTTCAGAGTTTAGAGCAGATGGAAAAGACAAACTTTATTCTTCTGCCACTTCTTTCTTCTCTTAACTTCATCTAGTTGTGCAAGATAGCCTAGCAAGAGAAATGAATCCTCCAAACCCTGGAGACCTGTGAAGAGCAGCAATACTGCTGTACTGCTTGGTCCGTGGGCAATAGCTGTGTAGCAAGCCAGATTTTTGGCAGCACACTGTCACAAGTACGTCATTTTGGGTTCTCCACTCTGGAGCTGAAAAGCTGCTGAGATTGCATTGGCCCATGCAGATAGCAGAGTCCTGCTGTCAGGCAGCAGCCAGCATTCCTGGTTTGCATCTCAGCTGCCCTGCCTTGATCTCAGTTCACTCGCTTCCCTTCCATTTCTGCAGCTGCCTCTGGGCATTGCTCTGCTGGCAGGGCCCTTGAGGAGGGGGTACCTTGGATAGCCTAGTAATACCCCTGGTGCCTTGCAGCCCCTCACAGAGGGGGTTTGCAGCAGGAGAGACTTCTCTGCTGACCTGGTTTTGCTTGCAAGAAAGTGATGGGAGCTGGAGCTCAGGGAACTCCCTGCATTCACTTGCACTGCCTCACCCCTACTTAAACCCTTGGCAGCAAGACAAGTTTTTCCAGCCCTGTGAGTGCTGTCTGGGCTGTAAAACTGAGCTGGACCTGCTGCCTTGCTAGCACTGTAGGATAGGAAGTTTCTCACTTACCTGTGTCTCTAGACAAGAACACCAGTCCCTGTTGGAGAAACTGTCTGCATTGGAGAAGAAGGTGATTGTGGGAGGAGTGGACTTGCTGGCAAAAGCAGAGGAGCAAGAGAAGCTTCTAGAAGAATCAAATATGGAACTGGAAGAACGAAGGAAGAGGGCAGAGCAGCTTCGCAAGGAGCTTGAGGAGAAGGAGGTGAGGTTATACACGGCAGCTGTCTGAAATCAGCAATGGCGGGACACACCATGTTGTGTGCCTTGGCTTTGCTCAGGTGGATGAAATGTGGGTCTGCTCTGAAAGCGGAGCAGAAGCTAACTGCTTCAGAGGCCGCGCGTTGGCAGCGCTCACCTGTAGGGCAGCCGTGATCACTGTGGGTCTGAGCCAGCCTGGCTAAGCCAGGTCTCTGTACCCTTGGCAAATGCTTTGTTTGGTCACAGTAGTTTCTCCTCTTGTTCATACTATTGTGGATAGTTTCCTTGATTATGTTAATTAATATGTGGATGTCTATGCTAAATGTTGCATGCAGCAAGAACGCTTGGACATTGAGGAGAAGTACACCAGCCTCCAGGAAGAAGCACAGGGGAAAACCAAAAAGCTGAAGAAAGTTTGGACCATGCTTATGGCTGCAAAATCAGAGGTTAGTGTCTGAAGTCCTCAGCCTGTGATGATGTGAGAGACTATAGCGGGGAAGGGTAAGCCATCAGCTTTGTAACACTGGAAAAAGTGCTGTATGTTCAGAAGTGTGTTTCTGTGCTGTCCATTTAGCTCATGTAATTCAAAAAGATCTAATCAAGTCTGGTGGTAGAGCGTCACAGGGGCATGTTGTAGAGCTTTTCCCCAAGCCAGGCTGAGGGATGTGTGTGAGACCCATAGATACTCAAAACTTCAAGGAAAAAAACCTGGTTATTTCTGAAACAAAAGTTTTGCTGGCAACCCAACTTTGCAGCAGTCCAAATGCTCCTCTGCTCTTAGCTGTCTGTCCTTTCTGCCTGTTGCCCTCATTGTCTCTTCCTCAGTCACACTAGATCAATGTGTTCTTTGGCTGATATCTGGACTTCCTGTTGCATGAAAAGTGCATTTTGTCTCTGGGATCAGAGATTTTTCCCTGGCAAGATTTCAAGGGTATAACTTCTCTGGATGCTCATCTGCTCTTAGTTGATGCAGAGCCTGAATTGGCAGAAGACCAGTTTCGTTTTTATGAAACTGAGAACTTAATGCTATTTTCAGCCATCTCTGAGCTGGAACGTTTCAGAGGGTTTATTCTTCAGAGATAAATATTCTAGTACTTATAACCAGAGTTTGCTTTCATTTCCCAAAAACCTTGTATAGCTGAAGACTGTTCTTTTGTTTGCTGTTGCCATGTCTTTAGCTAGCTCTGATGCCTCTCAAATGCCTTGTTTGTCTTGTCATCTCTGCAGATGGCAGATCTGCAACAAGAGCATCAGAGAGAGATTGAGGGATTACTGGAGAATATTCGGCAGCTGAGCAGGGAACTTCGCCTTCAGATGCTTATCATAGACAACTTCATTCCTCAGGACTACCAGGTAAAGACAAAGAACCTAAGCTTGTGACCTATGATAGAGCACCCAGCGTGCCTAACACAAGCTTTTATTCTGTCCGACAAAGGGAATGAGTTGGCTTATTTTCTCCTCATGAGTTATTGACAGTGAACTGATCAACACTTGTCTGCTAAGCAGAGGTTTGCTAGCACAAATGAGTAGGTTGTGTTGCTGTGAGCCTTTGTTTGCTGTGGCCCAGCTGAGCAGGTGCAACTTGGTTGCATTGCTGTTTGTGCCATTATCTGGACTGTTAGAACCAGATGTTGAAGTGGGGAAAAATGCTTTTGTCAAGGGACTCTTGTAACCTGGTGGACTTCTGCTTGAGCTTCAGTTGGAAGATGATGAGAGTTAGTGGGTGCGTTTAGCTCCAAAAGCATCTCAATAATGTGAATAATGGATGCAGAATGTCTTTGTTGTATTTCTCAGGGGTTTTGATAACTTTGGGTACAATTACATGCTTAGGGAAGCAGTGTATAACATATCGGGGGTTGTAAGCAGAGGAATGTATTAATCTCAGTTCTCTTGCAGCATATTTTCTTTGTCATTTTATTTCTTTAAACCATATTCACCGTGTATTTAACTGGTGTATTCACTGTCTGCCTATGCTCTGGGTGTGTTCAAAACATTTTTTTTTTTCCCACTGTGCTTGAAGTTGTGCCTGCTAATGTCTGATATTAATACTAAGTAGTAAGACTGAACTTGGAACTCTTTACTTCTTGTTTTCTTTGACCCCAATGTTCAGAAAATTCACGATGAGCTTAAATATGATGCCCACTATTTAATAGAAAATACAAGCTATTTCCCTTAATCTTTCCTTTTTTTCCCATATTACAATGTGTGTTTATTGCTATCCTGATGGCATTGGTGTAATGGGAAACCCATGCTTTAATGGGAACACAAATGCATACAATTTGGGAGTGGTATTTTTATTTTCTGTAGTCTTTAAAATGTAAATAGGGGTTTTTGAACATGGTATGACTGTCCTGATAAAAACAACTTGGATTGGTCAAGACTGTTCTTAAGCAGCTTGGCTAGGCCTTTAGGGATATATGATATATGTTCTAGAAAATGTGTCTGCAGTGTAGACTGTGCAAGTCTGTAACAATTATTGTTCTAATTTCTGTCTAGGAAATGATTGAAAACTATGTTCACTGGAACGAAGACATTGGAGAATGGCAGCTGGTAAGCTAGCAGACTGGCTGATGGACCAACTAATGTTAGCACAAGCTTCTGAGGAGTTTAATTGAGCCCAGAAGTAAATTAATAAAGCTGTAGTCAGTTTTACTGTGCATGGAAGATTTTACTAACAGACCTTTCTTTCTTTAAGAAATGCGTTGCATATACAGGAAACAATATGAGGAAACAGACGCCTGTCCTGGATAAAAAAGAAAAAGATGTGAGTGACTCTTTATAAGCATGTATTGAACTGCATAGTTCATAAGTTCTGCTGCCTGTGCCTGCTACTGCATATTTATAGGGGAACTGTGCAGCTTCAGTTTTCTTTTGAAGAAATGAGGCTTTCTAGTGTTACAAAAGCACTGTTGATCAGTGTATAAAATGATTCTGATGTTTTGGGGTGGTTTTTTTTTTCTTTTTTTAGCCCTTTGAAGTGGATCTCTCCCATGTGTACTTAGCTTACACTGAAGAAAGCTTGAGGCAATCTCTGATGAAGCTGGAGAGGCCGAGGACTTCAAAAGGAAGGTCCAGGCCCAAGACGGGTAGAAGGTGAAGAACTTTGGAGTATCTATATGTAATCGGGGATTTACCCAGGGGAAGGCTTAAGTTTGTGCTTGTAGACTTACTGTGAGTCTTCAAACACTTGCTTAAGGAGAAGACAAAATACCACAATTTTGCACAGTATAAAGTTTACTGGTGCCAAGTGTGATAGAACCAAGCTGAAATCTCCTTACTACAGTAAAGTCTTATCCAGAAAGACTTGTCTGGGGATTTTTATGATTCCCTTTTGCTGCATTCCCCTCTTCTGGCTTCTTGCTTAATTTTACTGTGTTCTGTGGTTCAGTTTAACATCTGACACATTGACAGTGCATATACTGTTATCACTGGAAAGTAATGTGCTGTTGGGGGAGATTTCAGCATAGGTTTTCTGGGTTATTTTTGGTTGGTTGGTTTTGACAAATGCTTGCGGAAGAGTAACACTTTGTAGTTTTGACTTGAAATGTGGCTGTTCCCTGTCTTTCCTAGACAGCATAATGATGTGTGTATGGTGTTGTTTTTCCCTTTCCTTTCTGCTCTCCAAACAGAAAACGTTCGGCAAAGCCAGGAGCCGTCATTGACTCTCTGCTGCAGTAGGTGTGACCTGTTCAGAATTGCCGTAAAAATCAGTGAGTGTGTAAGGCTTGGCCAGAATATGGAATTCAAGAAATAGCACAGTTTGATATGGCTGTAAAATCCATGCCTTGCTGGTATGGAGCTTTATTTAAAAAAAAAAAAATTCCTTAGTTGCCCGTATATTGTATGTTATATTAACATAATATTAAGCTGGTATATATGATGGTTGTGAAATTCCATGTGTTAAATGTGTCGTGCAGGGAAACTATTGTTGGCAACCCTTGTTGAAATGTATAGAAAACAAGGGTTCTAGATGTGTGTTTAAGTGCTAGACATGTTAGCGTGAAACGGTTGATGAAATCCTGAAATTTAAGGCTGGTAAATCTGATTTATGCCCTGCTTTGCACATAACTGGCAGCTTTCACTATTGTCCTCTGTTGCACTGATCTGTGTTTGAATGTGGTTGCTGCAAACCTTTGAATTAAGAGCATCAAACCCTTTTATTTAAATATTCCTCACTGTGGCTATTAACCTGATCGTATTGTGTATGAAATACACAGTCCTTTTCCCTTCATTTGCTGTCTTGCTGTACAAAGAAAGTAGGTAGGTAGGGGAAACATGAACTACAAACTTCTGGAAAGGGACCATGCTCTGTTTAAGTGCAACAGAAAACAAGTGTGTCTAAGTAGTGCTTTTATTTTTGTCTATTTGTGTGTCATCTGCTGGCACTGGGGAGAGTGAGGCCTTTGATGCCAAGGCAAGAGAGCTTTTTTCCCCTCCTTTTATTAAGGCTGTGTTGCAGCATTGCTTTGGCTGCTTTTTACGCTTCTGAGCTGGAATTTTTTTAAATGTATATGAATTGTTTTGTAATCTGAAACAGCAGAGATTATTTAAGGGGAATGCTATAACACTAGGACTTGGCTTCAGCCTTGGGACTGTGAGCATTAATGGCTCCACTTCTCATCCCTGGCTACACGGGCACTGGGCCAGTGCTCTAAACTGAGGATGAATTTGATTCTCCTGTCTTAAAACAGGCATGAATTGCCCAATTTTCCCAGAACAGTAACATCCCCTGAAATAGCTGATGCTGTTTGTGTTCCTGTGTAGACTGTATCATCTTGGGTTTCTGGCTATGTGCTCCGAGAGGAAAAAAATTCTGGTCTCTGATAATAAGCATTTATCTGTGGTGGCTGCTCTTTTTCTTTGATATTTATGCTGCTAATAGACACATATCACTTTAATACATTGCTTTTGTGTCACAGAAAATGCGTCTCCTTTGGATTTTGAGTGCTTTATAACTCATGCTGGAGCACATGAGCTGCGGGCATCTTAACAGCTCCCATGCCGGAGTGGTGGTAATTAGCTGTAACTTCCATGGGATCCTAGCGTTACCTAGAGGTTTAAAAAGCTGTGATTACTAATAGGAGAATCTGAGTCCTTAAGCATGACAGTAAGAACAAGACAGCTCCTTAAGAGAGTTCTTGTTAGTAGCCATGTTTACAATTACTAGAATGTTCTTGTGATAGTACTTAGGGATATCAACTTTTAACTACTCTTTCTTACTGTTGTGATGCTTAGCTGGGTGTACCTTGTGACTATAACAGGTCTGCAGCAGGATCTGTAATAGTTAAAACTGGTCTTGTAAGGGCATATTTTGCTCGGAGATGTATTCAGTGCTATTCTAAATGAGTTGCAAGCTTTTCCCTTGGGGTTTTGATCATGACCTAGGGGAAGAATATGCTGCCCTTGTCGGAGAGGGAGTGGAGTGTCACCTAAGTTCATACAAGATCTGGCTTTGTCACCTGAGTTCATACGAGACACAAACACTGGCATTTGTTTTCTCTAGCGTAGCAGCTAGAGGTAAATACTCAGAATGTTTGTCTGATCTAAGCTGTAGTTGGTTTTGCCCTTGAAGAGTTGACCTTACTTTGAATGTGCTTGGGTAGAGTTGGTTTATCTCCTGTTACGTACTTCTCATCAAACAAGACAGACTGAAAATGGCTTAAATGCTGTTTTGTCTTAGGCCTGATGTCAGTTCTGAGTCCAAGCAGATAGATGTGCAATTTTGGCCTGTACTAGTACTCAGAATCAGAGATAACTGTTGCATTTCCCTTTGTTAGTCTTGTTGTGCTAAGGTTTGTTGAATGATCTGTTTTTAAGGGAGTTTCTCCTGAACTTTGCTTTCAAAAAGACCACTGAAAAGTCTTTTACCTGACAGACATCAGCGGTTTAAAGATACCGCTGTGAACCACGATACTGCATTTAAAATATTTAAAACTTATCATAAAGCATATGCCTTTATAGTTTTAATGTTACAGTCCTGCTGCTGAAAACAGTAGTACTCTATATATTTAAGTGAGCCTTGGGGCAGAGAACATAATAAATAATTGCTTGCACACCTTTGTAATTAGCGGATTGGAGAAACTGGTTGTTAATCCCCTGTTACAGGGGCTTGGAAAACAAATTATCTGCTCTTACAAGAGGACTTTAAGTGGAGCGCTATCATGGTCATGGTGATCTATCAGCTTGGCTTAGCTTTTAACTTGTGTGTTTTGTTGCAGTTCTGGGAACTTTTAAAGCCAGGGAGTCTTGCTTGCAGGTTTATCTCTAGCCCTGGACAAATCTGTGAATGTCTAATGGGTCCATAACATGTTCTAATGAGGAAGGGGTTTGGTTTTGTGTAGGTTTTTTAAGAGCTTAATACAGCCATTCTTATCCCAGGTCAGTATGTGCTCTATAGTATTTATCAAAAATCGTATTACCATAATATATATATTACGTGTGTTCATCTTGCATCTCGCTACCAGAAGATTCCCTTCATTCCACAACATCAACCTTAATGTTGAGGTTTTTGATGCTTTATGTTGTTTAATGTTGTGTTAAATGAATTATTTCATATTTAACTTGTTCCTGATCCTTTCCATAAGAGGAAGGGAAAATGGTCCTTAGTGCCTTTCACTGACTTACGCTGTCTGCACATGTCCAGCTTTCACCTTTCTTGACAGTTCTGCTTAGCCAGTCCTGTGCATAGGAAAATCTGCTAGTCTGTTTGTATAATTTGTCTTCCTATTTATTGTTTTTTCTAACTCTGTTTATTTCTGATTAGTCTTTATTTTATGATTAAACTTTATTCATTACACTGTATATATCAGTATTGTGTCCCTGGAGCATGTTCATACCATGAAATAAAATTCTCGATTCCTAGTTTCACTTCTGTGCATGTTTTTCAGATAACTTTATACATACAGCATCTTTCTAACTCAGTTGAGTCAGAACATGTGTCAAGAAGGGTAGCTAAAATGGTCTGTGCAGCTCTGTGATACACAGCACTTACTGGAGGAGTCGGACGCGTGCGTCTGGGGTACGTGGGGACCCCCAGGGCAGCGGGCAACAAGCTCCTGTGGAAGAGGTAGACAGGGCAGAACAAGAGGATCCTTTGCAAGACTCTGACAAGGTCAGTGGGCTGAGGCCAGCACGCAGACCAGGAGATGTGCCCCTTCGGGCTGATGAGCCCCTTGTCCAAGGCCATCCTCTGCTGGGGCTGTCCTGAGCTGCCCCTGGGGGAGAGGAGAGCCCCGCTGGGCCAGAGCACTGCGCGAGCGGCTTCTTGGCCACTGAAGTAGTCAGTGCTGGCTGCGTTCTGCCTCTTCTTGCGTATGTGCACGGCATAGGTGACGGAGAGAAGCCGTTTCACGCTGTTTGGGCTGGAAGTGTCCTTGTGCTACATGGCAAGCCTGTCACACCCTGTATTCGTGCAGATGGTATGAATTTACCTGCAGTAATTGGAAATGTTCAGCTCTGTTTCCTTCGCTGCATAAATTGTATTGGTCTGCAGCGCATTTCTTCCTCTGGAAGATGTTTCAGCCTGCTCATGCAGTAGGTAACAGGTTTTTTTGTGGTCTGCTAACTTTGCAGCTCCCCTGAGTACTGTGACTCAGTTGATGCATGAACCAAAACTTGCACAGTCCTGGGACTTTCCAAAGTGCTCTCCCACGCTGTGCCAAAGCTAGCTGTGAAATGGTAGACACCTAAATACCTGCAAGACTCCAGTCCTCTCTTGCTAGAGAAAGACTTTAACCACCACCCAGGTTTGCTGCAGGCTAGAGTCATCCCTGCAACAGTGCAGTCTTGCTCCCTGTTGCTATTTCTTTCACTGCTGGAGCCTCTTTACCCTGGGCCACAAAGGGCTATGCCAGACTATATATAGTGAAAATTAACTCTATCCCAACTGAAACCAGGACAGGGGGGAATTAACGGCCTGCTTAGCTAAAGACCTGGAATCTCCATCTTCAGCTCTAGCACACACTTCTGAGGCCTCTTTTTGTGGCCTGTCTTCTCTAATCTGCCTTCCTTTGGGCTTTTTCCTCTGCCCGGAGCTGCTTTCCTTGTGTTAGTCCAAGCCTTAACCCCATAGCAGGACAAATTCTTTGTTTTGGCAACTCTTGCCAGCACCACCCTTGTGGCAGTGGACTCGGCACGCCGTTCACTGTAGCCCCATGTGTTTCTTGCAACTTCCATGGCAAAGTAACAAAAATTACTTCAAACTTCATGATTTTAAGACCTCTTATTTCCAAATCCCCCGTTCCATCTAGGAAGCCGTCGCTGCTCAGCTCTCGAGTTAGCATGTGCTCCTATGCTCTCCAGTTTCTGGCAAAGAAACATCCTATGCAATGCCAGCAAATTTAGTCCAAAAATACATTTATTTAAAGAATTATTATAAATAATCTTTAAAAAATACAGTGCAGTCATAGTTTAAAAAAAAACCAAACTGTTTTTCACTTCAACCTCCAGTCCTTTACTAGTCGTTGGAGGACTCTGCGTAAGTCCGTTAGGAAATCATGTAGTGAAGTAACGTTGCCTGTTGCCACAGGACATGGTGCCTGTAATAGGAGGAAAAAAGGCCATTGAGGGAGGGATCTGGTGCTGCAGTGTGGTCTCGGCTGCTAATGGTGGTGTGGTTCGGCTGTGCGCAGCGCTCGGGGGCCGAAAACGCAGCGCGGTCAAAACCGAGAGCCGCTGAGAAACGGCCGAGGCCAAGCGAACAGCAGGACCCCAGCCACCCGCCGGAGCTGCTGGGGTGAGGCTCCCGTGCCAGCCGAAACGGTGACTGGGGGAGAAGCCGGACGTGCAGAAAGCTTGAGGGCTGTACAGCCCCGGTGCGCTCGGGCCCGCGGGGGAGAGCCTTGCCTTACCTTGTGGCCTGTGCTCTTCCCCCAGACGAGACGGAGCAAGTTGAGGTAAATGCCCTCCAGGTGCCTGTGGCAGCTCCGGCCCTCCCAGGCGACTGTGCTGGCTTTGCATAAGATCTCTATGTCGCTGTCGTTCTGGAAAAAAGACGCGTGTGGCTTTTTTAGAAACCCTTTTGTACAGTCATGGCTTCACTAACAGCAGATTAAAACAGAGCAAATAAAATCATAGAATGGTTTGGGTTGGATGGGATCACTAATACATTGGGGGGTTGTTATATACAAATAATACATTTCTGTTCTAAAGGGCTGGCGCAAAGTACAGCTCGTGACGTCAAAGCCTCCTCTGGAGCTTCCCAGCCGTGTGCCCAGAGGGGTCGGCTCCCAGCCCCAGCCAGGAGCGTGGTGCCGTCGGCGTGAGCACCCATGTGCTTCGAGCATCGTGCTCCCGGCGTGGGCGCAAGCATGGGACCTGGGCTGCGACCCTCTGCTCAGGGAGCTGCTCCCCACGGAATGAAGCTGGTTTGGGTGGGCAGAAGCGCTACGGGAATAACAAAAGCCCTGGGGAAGATGTCGCCTCGTCAGCAGCTTTGAGCAGATAAAGCCTTGTAGCGGCGACACGTGGAAGACGAGGAGCCAAGAAGTGAAGCGCTGGCAGTAATAAGAAAACTATTCAGTTGTTGTGCCCGGGGGATGTTCCTGAGGCTCTGCCTGCTCCGGTCCCCTCA